ATCGAGTTTAATAAAAAAAAATTGTAAATATTAATAACGAGTAAAGTCATCATTAAGTCTGACCCCACTCTAGTTACCACACGTGACCCCTTCTATCTCTCCACCCCCTTGACCTTTAACCACCAAAATTTAACAGCATCAATTTCCCTAATACACAAACCTCCTTGAAAAATTTCGGAAAATTTCGACAAATGGCCCGGGAGTTATTAAGCATCGAATTGGATGAACAAAATCTTGCTCCCTACACGACTATACAGAAAAAAACTCCGAATTTTTTTTTTTTTTTACATTTCTCCACATTTCGAGGTCCCCGAGTCCAAAAATGTAAAAATATGGGGGTCTTTTTTTGACCAATCGCCATACTTTTCCTCCGTTATACACAACACCTGGAAAGTAATACAGTACATTATTATTTTATCAGAATATCTTGTTTACCATATATATAGGCCTATATATATTTTTTTTTGTAAATTGGAAGGCTGTTTTTTTAACCAGAAAGTGTTAAATGGTCTCACTGAAAGGGTCGTAAAGACTGTAAAGAGCTTAAATCTTTATATAGGATGTGATATTCGATACATTATCAAGAAATAAGGATTAATCTTTAATATCAGGAGTTGCTATTCTCTGTTTATCTCATGAATAAAATGGAAATTTTATAGGGGTGATACCTTGGAGAATGTGTAGAAAAGTATTACAAAAATTAGAATTTTACAGCTGTAGTAACGAACAGAATTGTTATTACTACTTAAATACATTTAAAAGTATAATTTACACGCGTAAATATGTTATAAAATAAAATCATAATACATTTACTTAAAAAATAATACTTAAATTTGTAAATAAATTCCTTTTTTTCATGGTATTATTATTGGTTTTACACGTAAACTATATATAACTTAAGGGCCTCTAGATATTACAGGACTGGACTTAGACTTTTTGTGGCCCCGAGTTATATTATACGACAGGCCTTTCTCCTCCAACGAATAATGATGATACGTATAAAAATGTGAGGCCTTAAGTTATAAAGTCATAACAGAGATCCTAAGCTGCAGCATGCTTAACTTATTTGCAAATTAGACCCCGAGCTACTAGGTTTTAGATTGGGGCCTGCATTTATGAGCTATAGCAAGGCCTTCTTATTTTATACAATCAGGGCCGGCACAGACGTCGGTTTTTCGGGCCTCAGACTCGAGGATCACCGCACTTTCAAATTTCTAAGAAAATCTGATTAAAAAATATTCTTGTTTGTAAATATTTTGGGGCACCACTTAACTTTTTCCATAGGCCCCACAAAACCTACATCATGCCCCGTATATAATCAATATTCTATTGAATATTATATTATATTATAGAGAAGCTTGGCTAACCTGTTGTTTCTCTCTCTCAAAATTAAGTATTTTAATTAGAAAAAGTATAAAGTTTCTTATGGTGGAATAATGAAAAATCTGTTATTATTTGTTTTTTTTTATGTATTTTTATGATTAGGAGGAGGTAGAGGGACCATAATTCTGGCTCAGGCCTCATCTCTCTCTAACATATTATAAATAAATATAATATTAGGATATAAACTCTAGTTACAATGATTTCGAATTGTGTAAAGTAGAAAGGTCTATTCTCTTAGAAAACAACTAAATAACATTTACAGTAATCAAACAAGAGAAATCCATTAAGTAAAACTATATACATGTCAATGCAATAAAAATAATTAATTCCTTATAAAATAGCATAAAATTACAAATAAAATATATTTTCTACTTATTAAGATTAACATTTTTTTAAAATAAACAAAATAATGGATACTTAATTTACAGGTTATATTTTGTATGTTAAATTAATATTAAAAATATATTCTTAAATTTTAAATTTAATTATGGTTATAATTAATATTCATTTATGCTAATCATTAAAAAATAAATTCTGGAATATATTTTTGTTTATAATTCAATTAAAAGTCAGTTGTATTATGATAAAAAAAATTTTAAATATAAATATTGGTTCCTAATTTCATAAAAGTAAATGTTATTAATAAAGAAGAGGAAGGCTTGAAATGCTT